TTGCTGCCCTTCCATTTTTTCTTATTTCTAGCCCCCTGATTATTCTGATTTCCTTTACCAGTTTGACTAGGTTCTGGTCTACTCTTAACAAACAGATTTGTGCCATTTCATTTCTGGGTTTTTAATTCTAATTCTCTGGCCCTAAGTCCTACTGTTATTAAGTCAAGATTTGGTACAGTGCCCGAGTACTGTAGGGCATTCTTGACTACCTGGTAGTCATTAGTCAGGGAATTCAATAGAATCATGGCTAGACTAGTTTCTTCTAATGCTTGGTCTGTCCCTTTTAGGATCAAGGTCATTTTCAGAAACTCGTCTAGGTTTTCATCTATACTCTTAGCACTATCCATTTTATAAGAGAATAAAGCCCCTTTTAAAAAAGCTAGGTTGGGGGCAGATTACAAAGCATACAAGGTATTGAGTTTATCCCAGAGTTCAATCAGTGATTCAATTTTGTCTACCTTCTTGAGGACTCTGTCGGACATATTCATGATTATCAGATTGTACGCCTCCTCATTGATCTCCTCTTTCTTTTTCAACTTCTCCTCTGGCCACTTTTCAGAGTCCTCTTCCAATGCGATGGCAACCTTGTTGTGAGAAAGCAATGCTTTCATCTTTTTCTTCCAACTCCCAAAATCGATCTTCCCATCATATTGGGAGATCTCCACACGAGTAGTGCTCATTATACTGTAACTGTAAAAAGAAAGGTCTAAGAGGTACGTGGCGTTGTTATACCAGAAGTCGTCAAGTAGTACTGCCAGACAGTTTTTAAGGCGGTTACTGGTTTCCAGCCTAGATATCCTTAAACTTGGCCAAGATTTGACTCCCTAGATTCTATTGGAGACTCAAAGGAATCACTGATTCAAAAAACCCCAATTTTCCAAAACCCTAATTTCATAAAACCCTAATTTCACAAAACCCTAATCTCCAAGAAATGGCTCTGATACCATTGTTATAACCACGCACACAAGAATCAACCAAACAAAGATTACAATTAAGAATCACAAATCAGACGCACAAGAACAACAAGAATTTTACCATGGTTCACTTGCTCTATTTTGAGCAAGCTATGTCCACGTTGAGCTCAGGAAACACACGAGCTCGCTGCACTAAATCACTGTCAAGATTACAGATTACACACACAGCAACACAAAACCCTCAATACCCCTTCTTCAACCCGTAACTCACCTTAGAGATTATACCCTTTGAATCCCTACTAATAGCGTATACAAATACACCCAAAATGACCTGATCCAGTCACTCAATCAACAAGTTACAAGATTCACACAACCCAAATTGAAAACCCTAAAAGACTCAAAATGGTGTTTAACGAAGAAGAGAGAGTTTTGCAAAATAATACTACGCGTACAAAATGCCAAGACAGATATGTTTTTATATGGTTGACTGTAGGGTTTAATTCCAGCAGTTGGATATTCTCTTCATCAACGCTCAAGATTGTTTTCTCAGTTTAGTTCAAAATGAAGTTGTCCCACTTAAGTTCTAATATGACAGTGTTTCAAGCCATCATCCAATAGTGGTATACTTTGGAATTAAGCTTTATGTACTTAATTACTACTAGTTATAGTAATTTAATGAATTTGACTGTTTGAGTTTACCAATTACCTGATCTCTTCAATAGTTCTTGGAATTGTTTGTCGATATAATAATTGAATAAGGTGGTGTATTTTGGAATTAAGCTGCTGGGCTTTATATATAGTACATTAATCATCATATTAAATTTAATCTTGTGTGTATATCTAATATCTTAATTACGTTATAAATTAATTATTATTACTACGGTCCACGTACATAAAGGACTTCTGGTGGTTATAGACTTAATTGAGACTTACGAAATTTGATACATGTATGAGAGAGCTAGTTGTAATTCGGCGCTGTTTTCTTTGGGTTTCATCTAGATTTCTTAAATTTTACACCATTCCTTCTATCTAATCCAAACATTTGTATCTTTCCCTCTGTCTTATTGTATAAATACCTATACCGTTTCAACATTATCTTCTCATCAACTCACCTTACCTTCAAATTCTTAATTTCTACCTAATTAAGTATCATCTTCTCTGTTAACCCATATTAGTCTTAATATATTTCTCTCGTATTCAGCAAAAATGGCGATCAAGTGCTTCCATACTCATCTGTACATGTTTTTCCTCGTTTTCTGTATTTACAACTTGCATTCATCATCTGCAGCAACAAACTATAAGGTGTTAAGTTTTGGAGCCAAAGGCAATGGTGTAACAGATTCCACCCAAGCATTCAGCAAAGCATGGGCTGCAGCTTGTGGCTCCACAGAATCAACCACAATTTATGTACCAAAAGGAAGGTATTTGCTTGGTTCTATGACCTTTAAAGTTGACTGCAAAAATACAGATATCAATATGCGCATTGATGGAACTCTAGTGGCTCCATCAGATTACCGTGTACTAGCTCAAGCTGACAACTGGCTAAGCTTTGAAGGGGTTAGCGGTGTTTCCATCATCGGTGGAGCACTGGATGCCAAGGGAAATGCGTTGTGGAATTGCAAGGCTAAAAGCACTAATTGTCCCAATGGAGCTACATTACGGAATACATAACTTTCTTTCTAGTTTTATTTTGATTTTACGATGTCTTAATTTATGAAATCTGTTGTGTGTGTGTGAATGCAGACAGTGAGTTTTAGCAAATCAAACAATATCAAAATCAAGGGACTTATATCACTAAATAGCCAAATGTTTCACATTGTTATCAACGGTTGCCAGAATGTTCATGTTGAAAGAATTAAAGTCATAGCTACCGGCGATAGCCCCAACACAGATGGAATTCATGTCCAATTATCTAGAAATGTCAATATCATGAGCTCTTCCTTTAAAACTGGGGATGATTGCATCTCAATTGGCCCTTGAACTAAGAACTTGTGGATTGAACGTGTCACGTGCGGCCCCGGTCATGGTATTAGGTAATTCAAACATTTATCATCTAAAACTACTTAACTAATTAACAACAAACATCTCATCTTCCATATGATATTCATACCGAGAATGTTTTTCTTTGATTTATAGCATTGGGAGCCTGGGCAAGGATAGAAATGAGGAAGGAGTCCAAAACGTGATAGTTCAAAACACAACTTTTGTAGGTACTCAAAATGTGTTGAGGATAAAGTCATGGGCTAGACCTAGCAATGGATTTGTCTAAGGCATTCGGTTCTTAGATGCTACAATGCGAAATGTTCAAAATCCCATTATTATTGACCAAAACTATTGTCCTCACAACTTAAATTGTCCAGGCCAGGTAAAGATCTCCTAAATATTTCTATGTAAATGAAAATTTTTAGATCCATTATGTTCTCAATAAATCTTAAAAAATGTATAGCATCACTATTTATACTTTTTTTTTTTTTTTACATCCAGGTTTCAGGTGTCCAAATTAGTGATGTGACATATCAAAATATTTGGGGAACATCTGTTGCACCAGTTGCTATAAATTTAAATTGTAGCACAAAATACCCTTGCAAAAGAATAAGATTACAAAATATAAACTTGAAGTATTCAAACCAAGTCGCTCAATCATCTTGTAGTTACGTAACTGGGAAGGAACTTGGCTTGGTTCAACCCAACAATTGTTTGTAATTGAATGGTATAAATATAAGTTTGCACATGAAAGAATGTAATTGTACTCTATTCTTTCTTTATGAATTCTTTTATTGCCACTGACTGAATTCTTTAAGTTATGTGACCAACAAGCTACTGTTTATCGTGCAAGTGCAACATATTATGATAACTAAGCCAGATGTAAACTAATAAAAATTATTACCAATTGGTATGTGCCTCAGTTAAACTATTAATTAAACTGTAGTCCAGTACCAATATGGATGTATCGACTAATAATGGAATAATTAACTATATTTATGCACATTTTAATGTTTTATTGCAGTTTTACAAGTCAAAAGAATATTGATGCAAATATTTTTAAAGCTCTAATCAATGTTTAATAAACCTGGGATATTACAAGGTAATTATAATCTATTTCCACAATTCAATTTAACCACCTATGAATTATGATTTGGGAGTGTAATCAAAGCCAAGGTTGTTTTAGGCAGACGGAGTAGGTTATTTGGGGAGCGCCAATTTATGAAGCCAAAAAAAGAAGGGCAAGGTGGATGTAAGAACTAGAGCTCGCGACACGAGCTAAAGCTAGGGGTTTACTTGACAGGTAGGAAATTGACGGTGGATGAAGGCACGAAAATTGAAAAAAACGAGTATGGCTGTGGATGATGGCAAGAAAATGGAAAAACCTAATTATGGCATTGCTAGTTTGACTTGAAGTGAGGGAGGAAATGAAAATGGGACGAAAAATCTTGAGACTGGCATAACTGGAGCCTTAAACGAAAATGGGTCAAGAGAACTGACAGAGGAAGATAGGAATATCCCATGAGATGAGGCTTTACAAGTGATTCGCAATACCAGACGCATTGTGGCGGAAACACCAAATAGAGGACTGACCCTCAATCAACGAAGACCACCATCTTCAAACTTTAATTTGGCAAGTGGAGATGATGACAACCGAGCTCGGTCAAGGAGCCTACCGATGAAGCGACGAGGTGTAATGAATGGTGAAACTCAAACGCCTGTGACAAGAGCTTCGATCGATGAGAAAACAAGGAGCAGGTTTAGAGACCAAAACTCTCATGGGTTGATTCTCAGGTTAGTAGGAGAGGAGGCCGAGTCGGGCAATGGGTTAGACGTAATTCAGGCCTAGAAGCAACAAAAAGGGTTCGACCATCAAGTAGTCAATGGGCAAAAGCAAAATGAAGGACCAAAGGGGAAAGCAAGTATTGCGGGCCTGGATAATTGGTTGGGCTTTTGTAGAGATGTTGGACCATTTAATGGGAAGTCTAGTGGGCAGAAGGCTCACCATGGGTTTGGGTTAATACCAAAGAACAAGGCTAGGTGCAAAATGGAGGCTCAGAGGAAAGGGAGAATTTTTCTTTCCAAATGACTAATGAGGAGTAGATGTCCGGCCATCTTGATGGGCAATTGAATGCTTATGAGGGGAATCCTATTGAAGGGCAAAAAAGAAGCAGGGCGAACGTTGTTCATGAAAGGACACTACGGGAAAAACTACAAATGAAATATCATGAGCCAATCGTAATTAATGGAGGTACCACAATGGTGAGGGTGCCGCTTTCTTTGACTATGGAGGGAAGGAAAAAATGGGGAAATTGCTTGGTGGGGTCGTTTATTGAACGAAAGCCTCTGTTTCATTCGGTTCAATTTATGACTTTGAAATTGTCGCAAAAATATGAGATCAAGGATATTATGATGAATGAAAAGGGGTTTTTCTTTTTCAAATTTGAGGAAGAGGCAATGATGTTTCAGTGCCTAGAGGATGGCCCATGGTTATTTCAAAACAAGCCTATTCTGCTACAGAAATGGCAACCTAAGATGGAAATAAATAAAGAAGCACCACAATTTATACCATTATGGGTAAAGCTTTTTGATGTCCCATTAGAGTTGTGGAATGCTGAGGGACTGAGTTACATTGCCAGTGGGGTGGGTAAACCTCTAGGGGTGGACAAAATAATGGAAGACACTTGCAGATTTGGAGTGGGCCAAATAAGCTTTGCAAGGGTTCTCATGGAAGTTGATGCTAGATGCCCATTACCGGCAGTGACAAAAATTCAAATGCCTAATGAGAGAAATTTGGCACTTAAGGTTATGGATGTAAAAGTGGAGTATCAGTGGCACCCATCACAATGTGCAAGATGTTGCGTGTTTGGTCACGGGGAGGTCTCTTGCCCACGACAACCTAGAGTGGAGAGTCAAGGGAATATAATGGAGAATGTGCAGAATAGTCCTGATAAAGATGAGGGGTTCCTAAAGGTTTCTAGACGAGGCAAAGGGAAAGGAGTTGGCGGACCTAGAATTGATAATCGCCCTAATCCTCAGTGAACAATTTCGAGCTAGCCAAAATAGGGGAAGACTAGTCAGGTTAAAGGAAAAGCTGTGATGGCCCCTAGATCCCAGAAGATCACTCAAGACAAATCCAAGGAGTAGCAACCACCCATTAGTGTGGAAAATTCTTTACGGTGCCTTGTAGCCGAATGTGAGGAGAATATGAACTTGATGGACAGAAATGAGGAGGAAACCAATCCATTGGATATGAAAGTAGGAATTGGATTAGAAGTTGATTGTGAATCTAATATGGAAGGCACAAACGTAGAATCAGATATGACATCCATGACGGGTTTTATGAAAGAAGGAACAATTAACAAAACGAGTAGGAAGGACTCGGGGGGAAGTCTAGATGATCCCCTAATCACCACTTCTTGTCATGCTTGATATAGCTTACTAGAATATTAGGGGGCTTAACTAGCCCCTTAAACAAGAGGAAATTCGTAGTTTGATTCGAAAGAGACATCTTGCACTATGCTCATTGGTGGAAACCAGAGTGGCTCATCCAAACACTAATAGTATTTTTGAGAACGTTTTCAAAAGATGGACGCGGGTGTCTAATGTTGACCAGTGTTCTAGAGGATGTAGAATTGTGGTTGGATGGGATTCAGATGTTTATATGTTGGATGTAAAAGAGGAGACGGATCAAGTGCTTCAGTGTTTGATTCGGACCATTAGTAGTGAGATAGAGATTCATTGCTCTTTGGTCTATGCTATGAATGACCATACAGGTCGGCAAGACCTTTGGAATGAACTTTGCCATCATAAGCTCGAGGTGGGAAATAGTCCATGGCTAATTTTGGGGGATTTCAATGTCACCTTGCATTCAAGTGAGAGTATGGGGGGTACTAACTACGTCACTCCAGAAATGAAGGAGTTTAGGGATAGTATGCGAGGTTGAGGATCTTAGTTAAGCTGGGATACTGTACACTTGGAATGGAAAGCCGCATGGAGAGAAGGGAAACTTGAAGAAGCTTGACCAGGCAATGGGTAATGCCCACTTTGTTGCCCAGTTAACACGGTTTTTTACCCTATGGGATCAGTGACCACAACCTGTCATTGACAACCTTCCTTCTTCTGACTACTTCTAAACCTCGGCCCTTTAAATTCTTCAATTTTCTAGTTTACAAAAAAGATTTTAAGCCTTTGGTGTAGAGGATTTTGGCTTTGGACGTTGAAGGGGTGTCTATTTATAGGGTGGTTAAAAAATTAATGTTGTTAAAACCCCATTTCAGGATGTTGAACAAAAAGCAGGGCAACCTCAGTCATAGGTGGACATTTTGAGGAATGAAGTTGAAATGATCCAGCGAGCTCTGGACTTAGATCCTTATAATAGAGAGCTTCGTGACCAAGAGGTGATCTTCTCAAATGTTTTTCGAGTAGCTCTTCTTGATGAAGAACAATTCCTTAAACAAAAAGCGAAAGTCCACTGGTTGAGCTTAGGTGATCAAAACTCAGCTTTTTTCCACTAGTCCTTAAGAATAGCCAATAATTTGCAAAGAATTTATAGGATCACGCGGGGTTCGAGAGAAATTGTGGAAGGCTACGAGATGGTGGAGGAGTTTGTCTCGTTCTTTGAGTAGCTCCTTGGTACTAATAGCTCGGTTACCTCTTTGGATGGCATGAATGATATGTTTCCGATTCAAGTGTCTAATTTCCTTAAGACTAACATGATATGTCCAATCTTTTCAGAAGAGGTAAGGCAAGCTATGTTTATTATTGGTGATGATAAATTGGTTGGTGAAGCTGTATGTGTTAACTAAAATTGGTTTGGTAATGAGCTCAGTTGTTAATGTTCTTTGAAGTATTGATTAATGTGTCCTAAAGTTGCTATGGTTACTGAAGGTGTTTGTGTTTTATAAAAATTGGTGATGAACAAATAGCTTGTTTTATGTTCTTTACTTGTTGGTTGCTGAATCTGAAATATGGTGAAATTTTTGGTTGCTGAAGTGCTGAATTTGGCATATGGTGAAAGTAGTGAACAATTGAGTTAAACTTGTTGATTAATGATGAAGTACTGAATCTGGCATATGGTGAAAGTAGTGAACAAATGAGTTAAACTTGTTGATTAATGTTGAAGTATTGAATCTGGCATATGGCGAAAGTAGTGAACAAATGAGTTAAACTTGTTGGTTGCTGAAGTGCTGAATCTGAAATATGGTGAAATTGGTGAACATTGCTACCGTATTGAAATGTTGGAAACTTTGTCAACATTGCTGCTACATTGAAACTAGAAGTTTTATTATTTACCTTTATATTTTTATTTACTTCATTATGTTGTAATTAGAATGTTATGTCAAATGATAAAGCAAAGTTTTTGTGTCAAGCTAAAACTGGGACCCAGTTTAGCTTAAGAGGGGATGTTAGATATAAAAAGTGTAGGATGTCTCTGTTTCTCCTAAGCGGTGCCATTTTGTTAAAGTGTTAGTAAAAGGACTGTACGACGTCGTTTTGTAAGTATAATGGGTAGTTAAAAGTCAATCCTTATACTTACTGTTGTGGTTAATTCAGATCAATGAAAATTCTAGAATCACTTCGAAGCTTTCTTTAAATTCATTCTAATTTCATTCTTCGTTCGTGAACCCTAACCACTCATAGAATGTATGTGCCTCATGTTAGTAAGTGGCCATCTTCGCACAATGGAAAAGCGTATTTTAAAACGAAAAAGATCACTTACAAATCCAAAAATCCAGGCACAGATTATATTATTTACGTGCATAAACTTAAAACGTATAAAAACAAATCTGCAAAAATAAACAACCCATACAAGTATCCAAAAACACTTACGCACGTTTGGAGGCTTCTCCAAATATCTCTGGGTCTGATTTTGCTACTCGATTCAACGTAGAAACGCACTCACGCTGTCTAAACGAAGTCAATCTGTAGAACCCTTGATTATTTTGCTAGAATAACCAAGGGCTTCAAGAATCAAGGAAGATCAAGAGAAAAAAGGAATTTTTCTTTTGCACTCAAGAGTGAAAACGTGAGAGAGAGTTTTTGGGCAGCTAGGGTTTTTCTTTATTTTGTAAAATTCTCTTTTGCTTTAATTTAATTTGCACTTATATAGTGCAACTAATTAAAACCCTATTCCATTAAGGAATAGTCATGGGCACCAATACAAACTCACCCTTGCAACCAAACACCCTATTATTAGTAAAATCAATTAATATATATATATATATTAACATTTAATTAATAATAATTCATTTAAATATACATATTAATATATATTCAAATATAATCTCACTAATTTTAATATTGATATTAAAATTAAACATAGGCAACAACCTCAACAAATTTATTTGCACTGTGAGACTATCAAAATACCATTTCGTCCCAAAAGACGAAAATACCCATCTCATAGACTGATTCTTATAAGTGTGTGACCAGTAGGCTCCTCATCATTTTGGCAGTGAGTAGTATTGTGATTAAACTCTAATTAACCGTCTCACTACACATAGACCAAGCTTGCCCCTTAGCAAGGTATCATGACCACCCGATAGATTCGGATTCAGCGAAATCGCAGCCTGTCAATGGTATGGTTACCGTGAAATCAAATTTTTTCATCATCTGTTATCTCATTGCGGTTGGGGTACAAAAATAGTCCTCGATATGATTGTATTCAGTTATTGGACCAATGATAGAAATATTAAATTGGATTGAGTTACAACTCAATCCCATTGTGGCCATAGATTTAGTGTCATTGTCATTTACTGAATTACAAAGTGAGATAACTTCTCCCGTACCCGAGAGTGATGAATCCTTTGTTGATCTAGCATAGTCTCCATACACTTCTCAATGTAGCCAATCACTACCGTATTGATAGCTCTAAATAGAACTACATTGGACTGGTGTCAAACTACACCAATTGGTGCACAAGGCACTCTGATGATCTCAATTTTGAGGATCACATGCACCACCATCTGTTAGAGGAATTATTCCATAGACACTAGGATTACCATCCATATGGAATCCTCTGATGAGTCTGTCTAGTGAACTTGCCTATAACAAGTACTCATGTGTTGCACCAAGTTGTTGGCAAACAACATTGACAAATGAGATCAGTCATTATCTTTCGACAAGGTCGTTTAACACTATGATAGTCTTACCATATTATCTGTGTCCTTAATCAGAATAATATTGGGGCTACGGACATTTCTATAATGACCATCATATGTTATCATAGGGTTCTCACTATCAAGATTTGAAGCACTTGATACCCTCGTCACGGTTTTACCATCCTAAGGACATATATCATTACATATAATTATGATTTACACGATATAGAAGAATATGCCTTTTATTGATATATAAACATTATTACAAAGTCAATTTTACAATAATTGATTGGCTCTAGGACATCTACTCTAACAATCTTCCACTTGCACTATAGCCAATCATTCATGTATCTCATATCGAATGACCTTAAGTGCTTCTCACGCTTCTACTGTGACAGAGGCTTCATCAGTGGATCAGCGAGATTATCATCAGTATGTACTTTGCTGATCTGCACGTCTTTTCTCTCAACTATTTCTCCGATGAGATGAAAACACCTAAGTATGTGTTTGGACCGTTGGTGAGACCGTGGCTCCTTCGCTTGAGCTATTGCTCCGTTGTTGTCACAATAGACTTCTACTGGATCAACAATAGTGGAGACCACACCAAGTTCAGTGATGAACTTCTTGATCCAAACTGCCTTCTTGGCCGTGTCGAATAATGCTATATACTTGGCTTCCGTTGTAGAATCTATTATAATGCTTTGCTTGGAGCTCTTCCAGCTCACTGCACCCTTATTGAGGCAAAATACGAACCCAGATTGCATCTGTTTGGAAACTAGCATCACTGTATCTTTCTACAGTGAGCTCACCTTCCCTTCCATAAACCAAGAACATATCCTTGGTCCTTTTCAGTTACTTAAGGATGTTCTTGATAGCTATCTAGTGATGCTCGTCTGGATCTAATTGATATCTACTACAAGTGCTTAATGCACATGAGAC